AGCCAGTAAAAAGAAGCCAGAGCCAAGAGTGTTGCAAGAGATGAGTCCCAGGACACACACCAAACATCTGAGTCCAGTTCTGTCTGATGCCCGAGAGCTTTTCACCTACAGGACACAATATATTCCTTCATTTGCTCAGGTGAATTGGAGTTATATTCTTGACTTACCAGTAAAACAGACCTAATCAATGTTTAGGGACGGGCAGTTTCTCTTAGTCATGAAGACATCTGCTTTTTGAATTTGCTCCAGAAGTGTAGTGAATGTAAATTAAAAGTTGCAAACCATTAGCACAAGCTTACAGATTTAGGAACTTTAATCTAACAGAGTTAGTAGCTCCTTCCAGCCCCAGGACTTTTTAGAGAAGTTCTTGTCAGACCCTGGAGGCAGGGGAGTGTGGCTGAGCTGGGATAGTACTTCCCAAGTAGGGAAAGGACTGTCTGGTGGGTGACAGTACTGTTATTCTTTGTATTGCAAGCTTTTATTAGTATCTCAGTATCTCAGATTGGGTAATTTATTCTTTTTTAAATAGACATTTATTTCTTATAGTTCTAAAGGCTAGAGACCTTTAAGGTCTTGTGGCAAAACAGAAATGAGGAGGGGAAAGAGCAAAAGGGGGGGGGGTCCGTCTGCTTTTTAGCTACTGCCTGGAAAATGAGCCCACTCTTGTGCAAACACCATGAATCCACAAGGAGGGCAGAACCATCAACCCCCAGCACCTCCGCTAGACCCCACTTCCCAGTGATACTACATTATGGGATTAAGGTTCCAACATAGGAATTTTGGAGAGAGCATTTTACTCTAATGGCTAGAAATTCATTTCCTTCACTCATGAAGATGTATCATGGTTTAAAACCTCCTATGCCAATAACTTTAGTAGTTCATATTTGCAATTTTTAGAAGCAACAAAAGTTTTCCTAAAAACTGAAAAAAGATACCACAGAAGAATTAAATATGCTTTCTTGAAGGAGATATCAGAAGAAGAGTTATGTTAGAAATTAACAAGGCTGGGCCTGGGATTTAGCACAGTGGCATAAGCACCTGCCTAGCAGGCAGAGTGATAAGGTGCCAAGGTTTGATCTCTGGTAACTAACTAACTAACTAAATAAATAAATACATAAATAAATAAAATAAGGAGGCCAGGGGTTTAGCTCAGTGATAGCGCATTCACCTAATAAGGTGTCCACCTCTGGTTTCAACCCCCATCACTACACGACTATTAAGAAAGATGAAAAAAGAAGAAGCGCGTGAGAGAGAGAGAGAGAGAGAGAGAGAGAGAGAGAGAGAGAGAAAGGAAAGAAAGAAAAAGCCAGTAAGCATAAAGGGTTTAAAACAGATTGCTTGTTTGTCTCATTAATATTGTATTGGTGGAAATACAAACGTATCTGTCACTATGAAAGAACTTTGCAGATACTTCCTTATCAAGATTGTTAACACTGAGACAATTGCTGTAGGGCAAAAGAACCCTGTGAATAGCAGAGGGCGAGAATTCTCAGAGGAATGTTCCCCACCAAGACGGGAGACATCAGGTCACATCTCTGAAATGGGATACCCACTGTGTATATAATTTGAAGATCACAAGGGGAAAAGACAATAGCGTTTAAGAGACCAACAGGAAATCCAAACACAGACACTCACTTAACTGTGAAATTGGCTGCTTAATGGCTGGTATGTCTAGACTGAATCTGCACATAATCTTGCAGAGGAACAGGAAGAATTTACCCTAAAAAATGGGGTTGGAGTAAATGTACGCATTTATGAAAAGAAACTTTGAATCAGATAACTTGGAGAGTTCATCATTTTTAATGTTCCTTTGCTGTTTTTTTTTTTTTTCTTTCCTTTTTCTAGAAGTCCAGGGAATTCCTTAAGTTATGTGTGCAGTGTTGAATCTGCCTCTGAAGGTCCCTGTGAGAACTGAATGGTTTCACTTCATTAATTTTAGGAAAACTTTTTCATATTTTTCCAAGTGAGTATGAGTTAGATGAGATGTTCAAAAGATGCTACCATTGATCACAATCTTGAACCAGACAAAATGGAAAGTTAATCTGCTGAAGTAATACAAACTTAGAAGAAATTCATCTTTATCTTTTATCAAAGTAACTGGAAAAACTCAGCTAAAATACAAAAGGAACCCAATAAAATGACCTCATCTACCCAAGGAAGAGAGGATAGCTAATTTGTGTTCAATTCTTACCTGTCAAATGTCAGCTGATTTAAAACTTTAAATAGTAACATTTAAAATTAGAGTCCCAGAAAACATAGAAAAAACTTGTACTAACTGCACAAAAAAGGCAAGAAATTTGATTATTTTTAACTTTGTGTCTTGTATATGACTTGGTATGCCTTTAATAAAGTTCAAGCATAGTGCTTCCACAGTAACTTTCTGTACAACCTGCAATGTATACAGCTTTGCTTCTTAATTACAGTGAATATAAACCATTTTAAAAATAGCCTTCTGCCGTACTTGTACATGCATAATCTTTCATACCAACTCAGCTCAACACCTTAGGACAAGGGATGCAGTATGACAGATTCTGACCATTTTATTCTCTTGATTTATAACAAATTAAAATGAGTATCTTGTATAAATCAGTACTCTATGTTTATATCTACACTACTATATTTGTTAGAGTTCTTTCATTGCAAGTAATAGAAACCAACTAGGGTTATCATGGGTGTAGAAGATGGAAGAATATCAGTTTCCTAGCATGACACTGGAGAGCCAGTACTGGGAATCAGAGCCTCCACATCGTAATGCAAACAGGTGGGTTAACGTGACATTACAATCTCTTCTTTTTCCTAAACCTCTCCCCTACTTAAAACCCTTCCAGGGATCTTAAGTGCCCTTATTACTGGCAAGTATCTCAATAAAACCTCTCTGACTTTGGATGACTTTGGATGTGCTTACTGCACCAATGTCCTTCCCTTACTCACCACTGACGCCTTTCCAATTGACCCTTATCTTTGTCTGCATCCTCTCATGCCAAATCTCCTTTTGAATGCAAAATGAAAGCTTCCCAACTCGTATGCCAAAGCCCAAAGCGTTTGTGCAAACCAAGTACGTATTTGCCAGGACACTGGGACCCTTAGGATGGCTGGAGACATAGGTCAGTCCACTGACATTTGTGAGCAATGCCATGAGAAATGCCAGGAAGCACCACTCTGACCCAGGCATGATCTCTGCTCTGTTTTACAAAGGTATCAGCCACTCCACCATTCCCAAGCTTTTATGCATGACAGGTCCACTACGTAGAATACTGTTCCCCAACTCTGCACTCAGTTTACCCTTTAAGACTCAACTTTTGCACCAGTTCTTTTAAGAAGCCTTCACTGAATTCCCAAATTTGATTAAGGCATCCTATTATTTGGTTCTGCAAAGTTCTTTACTCTCCCTTTTGAAACACCTGTGACACTTAAAATCATTTTTATGATACTTGACTCTCTCACCATATACTCAGTGGAGCAGGGACTCAGGCTGGTTCACTTCTGAATTTCCCTTAGTGAGAACAATGCAGGCATGTGGTAGACATTTAATAAACTTTTGTGGTTGAGTGATGTTTGTAACTGTTATTCTCCAGTCTTAGATAAGTAAAAGAAACAGCAGCATTATATATATGAACCCTTTAAAAATGTTTTATACTTAAAAGTCTTTTCTTAGTTGGAAATAGAGAGGATAAAGCACCAAAAACAAAGAATGAGATACCTAAGACTTCATAACTCACTAGTGTGGGGTTAATACTGAGAGCTCAGGTTTCCTGTCTTTCCTCCCTGTCTGTGAGAAGAAGTTTGGGGAAGTTTGGAGCACACCTCTGACTTTTTGAGGCTGAAATCCTCTAGAGAATCTAGTGTTCTTTTTCAAAAAACTTGCATGATTGCCACAGTGAAAGACAGACTTTGGGGTAGTGTGTTGTGTTTGACCCATTCCAGCTGTCATCAAAAGCTTTTATCATTTCCCTCTGTTTTGTCTGAAATTGCAACCATTGGCGAGCTTTGTTATGAAAATTTTTGATTACTTGTCATCTATCCATTTTGTGTTTTGATTTTCAAACATATCCAAAGTGATTTTTAAAAAGTTTAAAAATATACCATCGTGAAGATTAGTAAAAAAAATCTTTTTTACGATTTTATGAAATTTCTAACTCTCTTCTTGGTTCTTTAATGACACCACATGATTCACAGAGCTAACTGAAGAGAAAGAGAAAGCTCCTAGTAAGAAATATAAGAAGGCAAATGTAGCAACCATGTGTATTTCTGACTTCTTTACGATATATCATGTGACATTTCTGATTGTAAACTGATGGCAGACAAACTCTGGTATGAAAAATTTACTATTATGTAATGCAGACATGTTATTCATAACAGTGTACCAGATGGAAAATGTGAGCACTTTAACTGGAAAGTGAATTATTTGCTCTTTGTATTGTGTGTAAATCTTGAACACATAAATTAAAAGCAGAAGATGTATTGTACTGTTTCGAGATCTAAAAATCTCTCCCATATCTTTTCGCAGCGTGAGGGACAGCACATTCAGCTGGCCAGATGGATACCCTTATCTATTCTGTATTGCTGTTGTTCCGCTTTGGGATGACTAGGTTAAAGAAAAATGTGCCCTGAAATGTGTGTTTCCAATTCTACGTATTCAGCATGAAGCCCGGAGGCCAGACAGGTTTATTTTAGTTTCTATTTGCAATGCCCTGGGTGCTGCATCACATTGAAAGGTTTCACATTCAGAAAATATTCCACTTTTTCATGGGTTTGCAGTGTCTGTGTAACAGAGGACTCCGCACAGAGAAATGATCTCTCTGAGAGTCACTTGAAATGTATGTATTTTTTTAAAAATGTATTTGTTTTCTTTTCCTATTGCCTGAATAATTTACGTTGTATATTCTGCTACTTATAGAAATGAAGAATTTAAAAGTCAATTTTTTAGAGCTAAGAACACTGGTTTTTTTCATCCATAAACATCACGCCAGGACTCAGAATGACCTTAGGAGCAATAGAATAAAATAAAAGATGAATATTTAATATGTAAGTTCTCCTATTATTGCCATACAATGAACAAGATGCAAAGCGTGAAACTGAAAGATAGAGATGATAAAACTTCTGGAAGGGAAACATCTCCATTGACTAACAATGTATAAATTATTTCTAGCATTAAACACCAGCACAGGAAACCATACAGCGTACTTTTTTTTTAAGAGGGTAAAATTAAACAAAACAAAACAGATCATAAGATAACAATGTAAGAGACAGATTTCAGAGCAAGAAAACTGAAGATCTTCACTGTCTATGATATTGTCTCTTGTTTTCTTCCAAAGAGTTGTCCGTATCTTCACATACAGTGAATTCATACAAAATGAAATAGTATAGCACTGATCAGAACAGGATGATGAAGGCCTTTTAGGTCTTCAAGACCAGACAATAGGGAAGTCAACAATGGCTGCCATAATGTCTCTCATTTTTTCCAAATAGCTGTCCATACCTTCATGTATGTTGAATTAAACAAAACAAAACAGACTAACATCACTCTGAACAAAGAATAATAGTATTGCTGGATTTCACAGCAAGACGCTACGGAGTCAGCACTGGGTACCTTAATGTCTCTTTTTCTTCAAAGTAGCTGTTCATTTCATCATGCATTATGTTATTGATTCTCATAAACGTTTTAGAAGTACTAAGCATGCGTGAGTCTCTACATGTATACCTATCCTTTCTGTATTAGAGGGGAAAACAAAACAGACCAAGACAAAACAAAATAAATTCCTAGAAAAACATGAAACAAAAAAGACATATAAACAATCATAGCAAAGAGCCCAGAACACTGACAATACAGGCCTTCAAAACAAGGTGGTATGAACACACCTAGGGTTGTTATTTTACATAATGATCTTCAAGAGTTCCTCTGCTCACCATACAATAATATGTGCAACCATACAGTGTACTTTAGATCTGGAAAACAGGAAACGACTCTACAGTACCTCACGTGACAGCGGTAACATGGCATATTAAGCACTTACCTGTCTACTTCTGCTCCAATCCATTCTGCTTGGATTGTCACCATTTGCCTCTTCTGTTCCCAACCTTGTTGCTGCCCAGGTTAAAAATACTCAAAGCCTTCCTCTTGTCTACAAGACAGTTGAACACTCTCTAAGGTTTTATGTTTTGAAGCTATATACGAAAATATTTTGCATGAAATGATATTGCAACCAAGATTTGTTTCAAAATAATCTAAAGATTGGAAGAAAAGGAGACATGGGGGAGGGGTGATACAGATGGTCATGAATTGGTCCTTGTGTGAGATAAGTGATCACTACATAAAACTGATTATTAATTTTCCCTGTATTTATGTATTTTATAAAACTAAAAAGCAAAAAAAAAAAAAAAAAATCAACATTTCCAGCCTTCCTTGCTTTGAAAATAGTTAGCTTTCAAGTTTACAGTTAACTCTTCAAACACCTAAAGTCATGTCCAAATTTTGTTCCTAAACTGGTAACTGATTTTTTTTCTCAACTCAGGGTATTTGTTCAAGATATTTCTGAAATTTTCTTCTCTCTTAGCTTTATGGGCTCCAATGGATGCCTTTTTTTGAAGCTGAGTTTTCTCTGTAGAACAATGGATTTGGATTAGATAATTTGCAAGACCTCTTCCAATCTATAATTATTGACACAGCCTTGATCTCTCACTTCCTAAAGACAAAGATCTACTTAGGAAACTCAACAAACTGTAGTCCGTACTAAGACCAATAAATACTGAGATGTCAAGTAGCTTGGGAAATTTTGATAAAATTAAGTCTCCTCCTGTTTTATAAAAATATTTCACTGTTTTAACTCCTTGAAAGTATATATCAGTGAAAGAGAGAAGAGACGCAGACAGAGAGAGAGAGAGAGAGAGAGAGAGAGAGAGAGAGAGAGAGAGACTGGTCATAGGGACGAAAAAAATGAGTGTTGAAGAACTAAATTTCTTGTAACGTTATACAGCAAAAGAAAATTAATGTAGTTTTTTACTAGGCTAAGCCATATGAAATTGCCAATATTGACTGTTGTGACCTACAGAAATAATGCTTCATTTGGTTCAATTTAGTATTATTTGAGGTTATTCGAACTAATATTATTTGGCTTATGGGTTCTTACAGATTTGACATTTTAAGAAGACACCAAAAATTAATGTTTGCAGACTTTATTCACTCTCCTGTCTTTTTTTTTTTTTTTTTTTGTCTTTTTCCTTTTTATCGGTACCGGGGATCAAAGTCACGACTGCCTGCTTGTAAGGCAGACGCTTATGCCGCTGAGCTAAATCCCCAGCCCCGAGTATTTTATAATACACCAAAATATATATTGGTAGTTCATACATCCTACAGCAGATAAAATGTCCTCTACTGCGTATCACGCGGTTTCTAAGTGCTGTTATTGTCATGCGTTAGCAGGATGTGAGTCTGCCATCAGGTGTGACTTTACCGTGTTGGAGGGCAGAACTCACATTGCTGTTTCCAGGACAGTGTGTTTTACACTAGTCAATGAACATTCAGGTTCACAGTGTTGGCCCTTTGAAATCAAAAGAGCTAATGATTCAGTTGTGCGGATTGACAGGGGCTGGAGGTTGAGATTAGTGCCGTATTAGCATAACCACTAGACAGAAAAGATATTTGTTATTTTATTTTATAAAGAACAAAACTCACCAAAAAATACTGAATAAAGTCAATCAAAACAAAGCAATAAAAGTGGAACAGAACTTCAAAACAAGACAGTAAGAAAGTCAACAATGGCTACCATAGCGTGTCTTGCTGAATTCACACTCGCTGTCCATACCATCAGACTACCAATGCCAAACAAAACAAAACAGAATAAAACCAATCAAAACAGAGCATTAAAATTTTTAAAAAACCCAATAAATTGAACAAAACAAAACAGTGAGAACAATACTCCTTTCTTTAACTTCTATTGTCATGAAAGTCAAACTGTATTTAAGGTTGTGGTTCTTATATTGATAGTTACTATTTAATTATTATTTTAGTTTGGGTCTTAGAAAAAAATTCGAATCTGCTCATTCTATCAAACTACACTTTACATTGTATACCAATTTGTATTTCCATAGAGGTAATTCTCACAAGTACTATTTTAATTCCCAAATAGCATTAAGCCCTTTCTGAAGGTTCTCACTAAACACTCACAAGAACTCAGACTGTGGAAATGAGTTATAGCTTCTTTGAAGTTTTTTAATTCCTCCAAATATAAATGTTAAAACTAAAATGTTAAAGTAAGCAACAGTAATATCAACATAGTTAATACTGAAGGTAAATGTTAAACACATGCATGCGATTCTTTGCAAAGATCATCTTCAAATGCAAAAACAAGACTGGTTTCGATATAGACAAATTACTTGAAAAGTTATATTAAATGTCTTTACATGACACATCTTGGCATTTTCTTTTAATTCACAAAAGTTTATTTCTGGGGAATATGGCTAGTAGCGGTTAGGAGTGCAGATTTAGAAAGAACACCTTTTTCTTGTTCCTGGTAATTTTCTGTAAGTACTGTGTTGTATTTGTCTTTACCTTTTTTCTGTTCCCTGGAGAAATGCAGTGACTTGGTGAATTTGCAATTTAGGAAAAATAACCAGAGAAATCTGCTCAACTCCGCTCACCTTTCCTCCTCCTGGTTAGGGAGCTGTTCACAGAATGAGCTTTTCTGCTCATCCATGCAGTTGGCTTTGCATCCGTGCCATGGGACTTTGGAACAGCGCCTGCCCGGAGGGCCCAAAACAGGCTCCTGTGCTCCTGGGTCTGGATGCACCTGCCCTTGGGGGTTCCGTCTAGTCACTGTTTTGGAACTCAGCCCATTAAAGAGCTGCTTTTGTGTGCTGCTCCTCGCACCACCTGGGACCCCAACTAGAGAAATCATGAGCTACAGAAACAAAGTTCTTTTAATTGCTTAAACAGGGAAGAAAGAAAAAGACATTTTGTTTGTGTGTTTTTTTTTTTTTTTTTTTTTGCTATAGGTAAAGTTTCAACTCTTTACCTTTCATTAGAAATGAAAGTAAATTTAGACTATAACTTAATATTACTTGCTAACGTGTATAATCCAATATTCTGATTCTATGCAAAATGGCCACATTAATGTTAAACAAATGTAAATATACTTAGACATTTTTTTAAAGCAAAATTAAAAAATTACAATGGGCAGGAGCTTTTTTAGAATCATACAATTTTTGAGTCCAAGAAATAAGATATAATCCAGGCATGATGGTACATGCCTATAATCCCAGCACTTCAAATGCTGAGGCAGGAGGATTGCCACAATTTCGAGCATAGTGAGTTCAAGGCCAGCCTGAACTACATAGCAAAGAATCTAAACACATTTGGATACAAATCAAGTAAACATAGACACATACCAGCAGAGCAGGGACGAGAGCCAGAGTGCCAGTTACATAAAAATATTAATTGATAGATGTCATGAAAACCCAGGGCTGGGGCTGGGGATTTAGCTCAGCGGCATAAGCGCCTGCCTTATAAGCAGGCAGTTGTGAGTTCGATCCCTGGTACTGATAAAAAAGAAAAAGAAAAAGAAAAAAAAAAGAAAACCCAGGGCCACAAATAATTACTTTGTAGATACTCTTAAGCAATTCATAATATATTAGCAATGTGAGAGACCAGATATAGCTTTAACCAGCTTTTATGAAAGAGAGACATCAAGTTATTTTCAAAAAGTACTATAAATTGAGCAAATCAAGAATAAGACGAATAAATAATCTAATTCTTATCAGTGCTTCCTAGTCCAAATTATACATATTGAGGATTTTATGGTAATTATATACCGAGATGTTAGAAAATGTTGGGTTAATTTTCAACTCACCAGAATTTTCCTCTGAGAATATAAAGGTGATATTACTGTACTACTGCTACTACTAATCATTGATCATACTCCTGGATAGCTAAAAATAAGAATAATCAAAGCAAGACTTATATAAATTATATATGTGACAACTGGCCTTGAAAGGTAGTTTTTTGTTGCTAATAGTAATGACATCTTACAAGCTTTAGGTTGCCTTCAGTAAGGGATTCCATCTCATCAAAAGCTGAACACAAAATTTTCACAACATTCTCATTTTTGTCTTGAACAATAAATAGTATTCTCCAATCTCACACTGATTTATCCACTGTGTGGTCGTTTGAATCTGCTGTCTTCTTTCATATCAACAATCATGACAGAAGAAAGTTCTTTGAAGTTTGCTGCTTCGGCAAAAGCCTGATACTTAAGCCAATAGATGAGAAAAAATAAAAATGAATCATGAAACCTGACATATTATTTGGGAAAAAGAAAATAAAGATTAAAAAAAGAACATTTCAAATGAAAACAGATGGAGGATCTAGAATAAATATTTGAACAAATCTTTGTATGTGGCTGGAAGATGAGTTTATCCCAGGAATTGTCACCTATAATTCACAGAAGCTTCATCATCTAACAATTCAAAAGATATTTATTACCATGAAAATAGAAAAGGCATATTGAACATGTATCATGTGCTCAATTTAATGTCCCCATACTTGGGAAGGGGATTTAAGAAATAAAGGAAGGATGGCCCCTCACTTAGGGTGGGTTATTCTTTACTTAGGGAGAAGAATCAAATACCTCAGTAGAAAGCAATCCCAGCCTGGAACCCATGTAATTTTCATTGTTCTGTTGGGTTGGGTTTTATTCTCTTTTGTTTTATGTAACATCTGATGTCACAAGCAGTTATTTAAAAGATAGCAAGACATATTATGGTAGCCAGTTTGGATTTACTATTGACATGTTTTGAAGTCCTTTATTTCATCCATTGTTTTGTTTTTATTATTTCTCTTCTATTCTGTTCTGTTTGATTTTTACTCTGTCCAAAGGTATTTGCAGCTATTTTGAAGATAACAAAAGGCATTATGGTAACTATTGTTGATTTTGTATAGTTGTGAAGACCTGTGTCACTTTTACTGGTTTATTTTGATTAGTTTTATTCTGTTTTATTTTCCATGGTTTTATTCTCTTTAAAGTAAAATAAAAATTAAAAGAATAAATATTTTCAGTTTTCTTTTTCTTTTTATCGGTACCGGGGATTAAACTCACGACTGCCTGCTTGCAAGGCAGGCGCTTATGCCGCTGAGCTAAACCTCCAGCCCCATATTTTCAGTTTTCTGATCAATATGGTACCTGACGTAACTATTCAGTCGTGTGATTGAAGCACAAAATAGCCGTAAACAATACATTTAAAATGAGCATGGCTATATTAAAAACTTTACTTATAAATCTTGAAATTTGAATTTCATGTAGTATTCTCATTATAAAATATTATGCTTTTTAATTTCCTCTAATCATTTAAAACCTACAAACCATTTTTAGCTCACTGGATGCATAAAACCAAATGATGGGTTAGATTTGGCCCCTAGGTTTGTTGACTCCTAGATTAAATTTAATAACCTAAAGGACAGATAGAGAAATGTGGAATTGCTATATCAAAGGGCAATCTCATGTTGTTTTTCATGTCGGTGGAGTTTTACTCAATGCAATCTGTTATATTAATTTCCTTGGGTTGCCATAACAAAATACAACAGATCGGATGGCTTAAACAGTAGAAATTTATTTTTCCACTATTCTGGAGGTTGGAAGCCCAAGATCACAGTGAGGCAGTGCCCTCTTCTTGGCCCACAGATTGCTGACTTCACATGGCCATGTCTTCTGTGTGTGCCAGGAGAGAGATGCCTGTGTGGTAGATCCAGTTGGGAGGAGGACAATCCTTCTAAGAGATCAGGCTTCCACCCTTCCAGCTTCCCGTACATTTTATTACTTGGAATCCTCCTCTCCAAATACACAGAGGGCTCGGGTTTCTGCATACGAATTTGGGGGAGCACATTCTGTCTGCAGCACATGCCTATGTTTTCAGTGTTTTTAGTAAATATACATTAGAACATCAACACATTCTGGAAATAATCATTTGGTGATTTCTGCTATAGTACCTATAATCTCTTCACTCAAAGGTACACACTGAGGTGTCTGAAATCAAGGAACAGTCTTTCTTGCCCCTTCCACAGGAGCTGAAGTAATTCTTGTTTGCTAAAACTGCTTATGGGATGTAGGCAGTATAATTCTCTCATTTATTCTAGTGTTTCATGGCTCTCTGAACTTGGAGAGCTACTGCAAAACAAACTGCAAAATCTATCTCAGTACTAGAATATTTAGTTTGATGGTTCTTGATAGTTCTTATTCCTTATAATTTTGTGGTTTCACTTTAATTTTTACCAAAAGATAAATAGTACTACAAGGTTTTTAATGAAAGGCCCTTGAGTCAGGTGTGGTGGTACACACTGTAATCCCAGTAATCAGGAAGCTGAGGCAGAAGAATCTCTAAGTCAGCTTTGGCTACATAGTGAGTTGAAGGATAGCCTGAACTACACAGCAAGACCCTGCCTCAAATAAATAAATACATGACAGCAATTATTACCTGCTTATCCCTATCTTTCTACAATCACGTTCCTCATTTCCTGTGCAGAATTCTCTTTCTCATCTTCCCAATTTCATAATACTTGGTAAAGTCAATGTTAGGGAATGTCAGTGTTTCTGTTACCTTATTCTTTAATTGTTGAGAGTTACTTACTGACCTCTGGATGCCCATGTAAATACAGAACATACTTCCTTTTTTCTCTACAGTCACTTATTTTTCAGTTTTAAATTTTGGTTTTAATTTTCTTCTATTCCTTCTATTGTTTCTTATTCACTCCCTTTGCTTTGTTTATTTTGATCTGTCTTCAGTACTTCAAGCTTTCCCAAACAGTAGGTGTCTTGTAGCTGTCCACTTTAGAACAAAGGACTCAGATTCTGACTGGAAGCTTTGCAGCAATGCTTGATGACTGGCATCACTGTAGGTGATTATTTTATTGCCAGCTCCTGCAATATGAGAATTTACACATCACTATTTCCAAAAACACTACATGTAGAGAAGAATTCTTCAAACTGGCACATAAAGTACAAATATGAAGACTTCCACTTAATCCTCCTGTTTCCAACACTGTGACTCACCGTCACCACCCTCCCTGACACCAAGTTTGGAAGTTATGGTTTCATTGATCTGGTCGGTCCTTGGCTGGATAGACTCGGGGCAGGATCAAAGTTACTGTCTATTTGGTCCCAATGGAAACATTTTTCAAACACCTCTTAGCCCACCTTATTCTATACCTTCCGTGGTACCTGATGCCTTCTGTGGTTGAAACTTTCAGGGTTGCTTGACTGTCGATCACACAGCTTACTACTTATTGGCTTTCAGACACTGCTTCTGGGACTTCGATGAATGCTTCTCTATCTGCTTTCCGTCTCCAAAATTGTATTGCTGTTTTTTCTATTTTATTATTTTTGTGGGTTTTATATGGCCTTCAGTCCTCAACTCTCATAACCTGTGACTTCAGGGAAGTATAGTGGAAATGCATGTGTTTGGTTTATCATCTTCTAGGCATGTGCACTGTAAATATTTCTAAAATGTCCTACATAGATATTGCACTAACTTGCACTACTCTCTGTGCACACGTATACATTTTTCCAACCGATATACTTGCCAATGGTAAGTAATTGAACTTTTTAATCCCTGCCAATGAATTACTAAATTTTATTTTCCTTAAAATTCAAGCCTACCTCTTTTTTTTTCTTTTTCTAATTTGGTACTGGGAATCAAACTCAAGACCTTGCACTTGCCAGGCAGGTGCCGTGCCACTGAGTTTATCCCTCGCCCAAGGCCTCCCTCTTGCCTATGTCTGTCTTCTGTCCACAACGCCAAACACACAAACATCTGAAAGAAGCAGCATGGACCAGATTCTTCAGCTTTGCATCCCTTTTGCTAGAAGTCTGCTCCTGAGCCTCTTATGCCCTCATGCTGGATAACCAGATTTCATTGCTAACATTCTTCTTATTTTAGTACTCTAGGTGTTTGGATCGGTTGCTAGGGTTGCCATAACAAAGTGTTCTGTGCCTAAAAACAACAGAAATTTATTGACTTACAGTTCTGGAAACTGGACATTCACAATGAAAGTATCTGAGGGTCGTGAGAAAATCTGTGTTCTTCTCTGGCTTCTGGTGGTTCACTGGTGATCTTTGGCAGTTCTTGGGCTATGCATTCATCATTTTTATCTTTGCTTTCCTCTTTACATGGCATTTGGCCCGTGTAAATATCTATCTTCAAATGCTCCATTTTACAAGATTATCAGTCACGCTGAGTTAGGGCTCATCCTAATAAAGTTGTTTTAACTTAATTATGTCTTTAAAGGTCCTGTCTCCAAATAAGGTCACATTGTGAGGCTCATGGAGTTAGGATTTCAGATTATGAATTTGAGAGAAGTCTTCAACCCATAACTTGGCTGTGAGGAGTTGCTCAAAAATATTTAATGGATGACTTAAATTATTATTTATTGATAAATGCTAATATTAAAGAAATTCTCCAAAGGAAAGCCAAAATTCTCCAAGTATATAGGAAGGGAAAAGAGCTAAAACTCTGATGCAGAATTGCAAATATCCCTGAAAAGTTATTAAGCAAAGCACAGACAGCAGAAACAAAGCACCTCAAAAAAAATCAGTATCTAAGGAAGGTAGAGATGGGCACACTGTAAAAGTTGGGGTGCTGTACCAAACAACACAGAGGCTTCATGAATAAGGAAGTGCATTTTCATCGCATGCCACAATTTCAAAATGATTGGCTCAGGTAAGTGGTCAAGTTCTGGTATTCATGGTGATTTAGATCTCAGATTTTCATGTGGTCTTTTCATCATCTGCATGGTTAAAAACTGGGTGTCTTCTATGTCTGCACTTCTATTAGTGGAACTGAACTCAGAGCTGAGACGTTCACTTCTTCCACCTGTGATGAGAACTATTTCTATGTTTATACCTAATTACTGGCAGGCTGTGCCATGCAGGACAGCGGCACACAGTGGGTGTCACCTTTGTCATGGAGAATGGTGTGGGCAGCTCCCTTCATTTTCCTTGATGAACCCCAGTTATGTGCGTGGCGATGGAGTCTCCCTCACAGGAATGAAGGCAGTGTCACTGAAGGACTTCCAATACTGTTGGAGAAGAAAAGAATCCATGCAAACATTTTTAAAAAGCTGTAATAATACACCAGTGAATTTGCAGATGAGTGTAAGCATAATCAAAATAAGAAGTAAAATATAGATTGGGCTAGAATAATCAGAGAGAGCCTGTGATGCTTCATAGTCCTGTCGGTCATCTTACTTTCATAAAGATAACAATTGCCATTGGTAACAACTTCACATGGAATATAATTTATATCACCTTATTTACATACTAATTGTATTAAATAATAATAGATCCCATAATTATCTACCAATTAGCTTAATAACTATGTAATTCAACACCTACGAGGCCATAGCTCTAACATTTATTTCCTATGGGATTTTCCCTGTAGGCTTTCTGTTAAACTCTGCTTCAATTTCAGTCTTTGACATCAAATAAAACTTATTTTCAGTTACCAGACTTGTAGAAAGGATATAAGGCTTTATACATGAAAATATACTATTGAGACAATAGTTAAAAATTCATGTGATAAAAATTATTGAAAGAAACACATTTTATTAGGCTTAAAAACCAGAACCATGAAAACGTTCTAAAAACTCAAAGTAGAATCTCAACTTGTAATTAAAGTACGATTCCAAAAAAGAATAATTTTTTAAAGTTATTCATTAGTACAAGAGGTAGTCAAAATATATGGTAGATATTTAAATAAAAGGAATTTATTATAGTAAAAGACACATTGCCATTAAACACTTTCAAAATATTCCTCATAGCTTTGAACACATTTACTTCAGCATCCTTGCTACTTTCTGAAGGAGTTTGGGAACTCCTCATTCATGAGTCTTAATAAAGTCTGATCAAAAATACAGTGAATATGGCTGCCACGGTCAATCAACTGAAAGGCATATTGATAAAAACATTTAAATTGTGTCTTTATCTACCTTATTCACAGGATTTGGCATAATCTGATTTCTGGCTCTTCCCCAAAGTTAAAATGACCACGAAAGGTAAATGTTTCAAGTCGATTCAGGTCAGCACAGCAGGCATGACGGTTCAACTAAAGACATGAAATGAGACTTCCAGAACTGTTTAGAAAGTGGCAGGAACGTATGTCTGAACTGAGGCTGAGCATTTTGCTTAAGAGATTTGTAAACATTTAAACATTTATCACATTAAAAATATTTATCGCATCATTTGATCACACAGTATATAATTTAATTGCTGAAACCTGAGGGGAGATTCTCACGGACTGCTGAGAGGAGTCAGAGAACACACTCACCGTCTGGCAGGAAACAGCTACACTGAGTGTGGATGGGGAAATGAAGGAACTGGGGGGCCAGGCACAGACACTGCTGGTGTGAATACAAAACGATGCAACCCAGTTAGGAAAACAGGCTTCTTAAGATGCTGAAGACTCACCTGCACTGTGATCTGGCCATTTCCCCCCTAGTATTTATTTAAAAAAAAAGAAAGTGTTCTTCATTCCAAAGATGCACTATTAATGTAAGAAGCAGAGATGAATTTCAAAATAATTACAGAGTATATATAATGAGTTACACAGTGAATGAGTTTATAGTGCTTTATTTCATAAGTGCAAACTAATCCATAGTGTCAGAAAACAGAGTAGCAACTGTGTGAAGATAGGAAAAGCAAGATGAAAGAGCTACTAAAAACACAACAAAATTTCGGGGGAGATGGACATGTCACTCCCCTAACTGTGCTAATCAAGTTCTAGGATGTGTCGCTGCGGCAACACCTGCCAAACTGCACAACCTTACTTTACTGTATGCAATTATACCGCCAAAAAGTTGTTAAAAGCTGAAGGGCGTATTTTAGAGACAATAGTATATGCATGTTTTTTAAATTTAATGCTCTAATCATGTTCCCTCCAAATGACTCATCTTGACCTGAGCTCACGTTACCATTTGACAAAATATCTAAGTAGGCTGTTTAAGTGGCAACAATGATCAGTTTTAGTCAGTACAAAATTAAAAGCCTGCCATTAAAAAAAATAATTAAAAGGGCAATATTTTCATTGATAAGGAGAAGTATTTAACATTTTGTAGGCCTCAGTTGAAAGCATCAGTTGCTTAGAGAAAAAAAATTTCAGAACAATATTTGTGTTCTAATTAGAGTTCCGTGCCATATTTACATTATTTTTCTCAACTAAAATGTTTATAATATGAGCCCACAAATATTTGTATTATTTTGCTTTAAAATTTGACTGGACAAAGAAAATGGGAAGATTAACTTAATGCTTAAGTTGGTAAACGATCATGAATCTTTCAGAATGTTGTATAAACTGACAAAAATGTGCAATAAAGGATAAATAATCAAATATCTTTAAGATGAATTATAGAAAAATTATTGCTCACACATGACTAATAAAGACAGTATAATTACTTTTGAATTCCAACACAACTCCAAAATAAATGGATTCTCTAGTTTTCAAAAGATGACTAATGTAAATGGAAAAATGTCCAAAACATTAGGATTTCCAGGCACTGCATGAAACTGTTATGCTCTGAAACATTACAGTGTGCTGTAAGATTAAAGATATGGCAGATGTTTGTCTGCTTTCTGAGGAGAGTCTCTAAACGGAATAAACGGTGCTAGTCCACCAGGGCTGTCTAAAGCTGTGTTTATTTCTACTTAAGAAATTTTCTACACTAAATATTGGCAATGCCTGGGAATTTGCAAGCATGTTGAAGTAGAATAGATCTCAGTGAACTTTCTTTGACTTCATCAGCCCTCAGCTAGATTATTTCAGCATCTAAAGTGAATTGAAAAGCAAAATTCACATTTCATACCAAAATATAAGACCTTTGTGGTTTTCTGAAGCATTTCTAAACATAAACTGTTTTTCGTGATGATAGAGATGCTGATCCCAGGTTCCCTGCAAGAACGAAATTTCTTGGTGGATCGTCTCACTATTACCAAGGTGGTTAGGATGACTAGACGAACACCATACACTTAAAACTCAAATCCTAGTTTCTTTTCTGTAATTTGAGGATCCCTGGGTCAGAGCATTTTATTCTGGGTAAAACTCAGGGGTAGAAGGGCACAGAATTAACAGAAAATAAAGAACAAGAACATTCGCGACATGAGAGATACACAGGGAAACCACTACATAATATTATTTGCCAAATTTGGAAAAAGAATTTCTTGTGCTCTACATCCACCGTGCTGGCAGGCAAGAGTTAAAGCCACGATTTGGGTGAGTAACTCTGTGGTGACTGGAGGCCGTCAGGGATCTGGATCGGCAGGGTTTTGACAGGAAACAGAATGCAATGATTTCCACCAGGAGACTGACTGTGTTCTCTAATGAGGGACTCAGGAGCGGTGTCAAGGCTCCCGGGAGTAGCAGAGAAGGACATTTTGTCACCCCTTTAAGAGGGCGCCCCTGAGAGCCTTAGCCTGGAGGAAAAGGAGCCCCGCAGAAGTCATCAAGCAAATTCCTTCCTTAAAAAAAATTATTTCTCACTCCATCCTATCTGCAGAATAACTTTGATTTGATAAACAACTAAGTAATAAGATTTTTATCAGATACATTTGAGATTAAAACAAAAACTGCATTCCAGACATCTTTACTCCATCAGCCCCACCCCATCAATTTCCCCCCCTTGGGGCAGTATTGTGCTCCCCACTAGGGGGAGACAGCTACTACCAGAACTGCGCCCTAACTCAGAAGGCTGAAGTGGAAGCAGCCCCACGCTGGCCCATCTGCCCTCCAGAAAGCAGAGGAGCTAGCGGGACCGTGCAAAGGCTCGGGCACAGGGCCCAGCGCACAGCCTGAAAATCCGGAGGAAGATAAAATGGGATCACCAGAGAATTTCCTCACAGTTCTTATAACTTACTCAGGGCAGAATCTCTTTGGGGAAAGCCGTGTATGTCTTGGTTAAAGCCTTTGTGTCAGGGATCTTAATTTAAATTCCTGCTCTGTGTTTCTCTCTCTGGATAAGTTTAGAAACCATCTTTAAAGTCTCAGAGCCTTAGAGAGTAAAATGAGGCCATTAATATCTATTTCTGGCAGTCGCTTTGGAGATAAAACAAAATATCGTATGCAGAGCACTTGGCTGGACGGTCACAGTGAATCCTCATGTTCGCCATCTGCCCTTCCTTCCTTCACTCATTCGGTCAACATTTGCTAAGCACTTGCCCCAGGGCATGCTGCACTCAGTGCTGGGCACTCAGAGGAAGCAAACTGAGACTTGGCCCCGCCAACCCTGCAGTCTGGTGGAAAGTTCCTGGCAAACATCTTGTGCATTTGACTCGGGGTGTGGCTGTAAGGTAGAATATGTGCTTAGCATGTGTAAGGACCTAGATTCCACCCCGACACCCCTCTCCCTCCACACCAAAAAGCCTCCAGATTTTTTTGCCTATAATTAAATGGGTTCACCAAAGAATGGTCCTATTACAATAGGTTGAAATTGGTATGGGTGACATTTTTAAAATGAATTAATCTCCTGTTGCAAAAGCTACCTCCAAAACCCAACAGCCTAAATAAATAAATAAAATTTAAAAACACAAAAACAGAATCCCATAGCCAGTTGCTTTGCCCATAGGTCATTCCAAAGGAGATTATTTAGTGATAACACAGCTCTGCAATGCTGGTGACTCAGTGAACTTCATTCTGGTGATTTTTCTAAGCCATTATGTCTTCGTTTGCAAGGATGAGGTAGATGATAACGGTGTTTACCTGCAGGAGTTGTTGAGAGTTGAATAAAAAATATACATACGAAGCTCTTAGTATTTGGTTTGGCTCAGATGCAGTGCTTAAGAAAATCTAGGTATCTAATTATTGTTGTTCAAATATTGAAATTTTTGTGATCCTATGTGTGAATGTTAGCAGTGCCTTCATTTTTCATGTTTAAAATAGTAGTAACGTTAGAAGCTGAGCGTGGTGGTGCACTTGGGAGGCAGAGGCAGAAGGATCGCTGTAAATTTTAGGACAGCCTGGGCTACATAGTGAGTTTGACATCATTCTGAACTACATGTGAAAACCTTATCTCAAAAAGTCAAAAATAAAATAAAAAAGATAGTAATGATTTTTAATACTGTTTTTTGGTAATGGGGATCTAACTCACAACTGCGCACTCGCCAGGCAGATTCTTTTTTTTTTAATTTTTTTTTTTTGTCTTTTTCATTTTTTATCCGTACCAGGGATCGAACTCACGACTGCCTGCTTAAGGCAGGCGCTTATGCCGCTGAGCTAAATCCCCAGCCCCAACCAGGCAGATTCTTATGCTGCTACGCCAAATCCCTGGCCCAACAGTAAAGATTTTAAATGTCTATTTTATCTCAATAAAATTTTCATAGCTAATGAAAGAATATAAAAATTCATCTTGAAAATGACTCAGTTTAGACATGAGTGATTATATTCATATCATCATTTTATAGCTCAGTGAAATGTTTTTAATTTTTTATAATTAATTAGACTTGCTATTGACTACCTATATCAAAATAATCGATTGTAAATATAAAAGCTAATTTAAAATATAATGTTTATGGTTACTTTTAAGTGAATCAACCTTGCAGACAAGCTATATATGAAATATTTATAGTACGTGAATATACAAAGGACAGAAAATAAATATTGGAAATGTTTCAATCAAATAAAATTATTCAGCCTTTCAAAATAAGATGTTGGCATAAAGCAAAGCAAAATTAGAAATAGTCTCACCAACATAAAGAAAATTTTGAAAAAAGAGCAACAACACACAAAAATAAAAATTCCCCAACAAAATACTGCCTATCTTGGGAGTTAGAACCGTCCTCCAACATGCTTTTGGCAAAATGCTCTAGCTACACAGTAGTTACTTCCATTTTACTGGATAAATCAGTCTCCTTTGCAAAACCTTCTGGGAGTTACATCACTCTAATGAGAAAAGAGTATTCCTATTAAGAAGCAAAAAGCACAGATTAAGCCTTTTAAAAGTGCTGATTAAAAAAATAAAGTAACAAAATATAAGCAAAATGCTTATTAAGTGAAAACTAGCTAGCTTTCATGGCATAATTTAAAGCCCTTATCAAGAATCTTCTCCCTGGTTGCAGACACATTGTCAATTCTAGAAAAACTGCTCAGAGTTCTACCAGGAGGGTGACCCCCACCTGGCAGCTTATTTTTCCGTCTCACACCTGTGCTTAATAATTAGCATTCTTGCAAATCTAGTCATTTTCAAGAAAGAAGAAAGGAAGGGTTTCACATCATAAGATTAAACAAAAGTAAATAGAAACTACTGCGGTTTATTTCCATCCAACCTACCTATAGAAGACCATGAAATTCATAAAATATGCCCCAGGATCTTAAGCACCATAGAAGGTTCCAGAGGTCACTCTGTCAATGACCTCCCCCTAGTGGGACTGAAAGAGATTAAGACCAGCATAAAAATGAAAGGCTTTCAGGAAAACAAACCTACTATTTTCTAAATGTAACCTTTCGGGTCGAGAAGTTATTTCTTACCATAGATAAGATTTTTTTTCCCTAAAGACAAGGAATTTGTTTAAGAGGAATGTTATCTATATTATGTTTATGAGTCTTCAAGAAAACACATTTTTCACTTGGGAAAAATTTTGCCTCCTAAAACTTTGCTGGGTGTGGCAGTGCATGCCTATAATCCTTGTGTTTGGGAAGCTGAGCACCGTGAGTTTGAGGCCAGCCTGGGCTACCTAGTGAGTTCCGGGCAACCTAAACTATACAATGAGACTTTGCCCCCCCCCCAACAAAACAAATCAACAACAACAACAAAAAAAAACCCGTATTCCTTAAATTGTTTAATATTTAATATTTCTAAATGAATAGATCCCACAAATTATTTTTTGTGCGCAAACAAACATGTCTATCTTCAGTCTTCAAGTTGAAAATGTGAATAAAGTCAATGCACAGGCCGTAATTCAGTTAACAGTGCTTGTTCATTTTCCTCTGATCCTCTGCAATAACAAAATATCCAAATCATCCCCCTTATCTACACACATACACGTGCACACACACACATGCACACACATACACACAAATATATGTGCTTCTATTTGTTTCAGAAAATTTAAACTCTCTGAAGAGCTGGGAAAATCTCACTACTGTGGTAATTCCAAGAAGATATAAAGCCCAGTGCTAAATGAACACTTGTTCTGCAACACACACGCCATTGCATGACTTCTAGGCTCTCCAAAGAGTCACCTGTGTAGAAGAAAACCCTCTGCTGTACAGTATTTGATGTGAGAAATCCTCCAAGAATGAAGATGCTTGTGAATGTTACTGCGAGTCCTTGAAACAAAATCAGGAAATGACGTCTAACTTCTTAACTTCAACTTTTTTCAAGTATAATTCGCATACAGCAAAGCTCAGAACTTTGATTTTTAGGAACTTTACTGAATTGTACTGTCACGACCACAATCTAGTTTTAGAAACATTTATTTCCATCACTTCAATAAGATTCCTTTGTGGGTGTTCATAGTTAATTCCTTTTCCCAGTTGCAGTCCTGGGTACCCACAAATCTACTTTCTGTCTATAGATTTTTGCTTTTTGTTGTTGTTGTTGTTTTGTTTTTGTCATATTTCTCTACCCAAATTGAGATTTTTTTTTCCCTTAAAAAGAAAGAAATGAAAGGGGCATGTCCTGGATGTTGGAGGACACTTACTGAGTAAGATATCCACTCTGCATAGTGCTCTTCAGAAATCTCCAAGGAGTCCAGGGGAATCTAGGACAGCAAATACATCTGTTGAACTAGACAATGTGGGCTGTAAGATTTAATTATCTTCCAGTTGGAGATAACAGACTTGTTACAAAGGGTTTTGATAATGAAAGAATACTGTAACAAGTCCTGTTATCTTAACTAAGATAATGTCACCATCACCGAAATTTAAAACAAAATAAAACAAAAAAAAAAGCAACTTTCAAGTGAAAGGGTTAACTCCTAAGCATTCCTATAAAATTCAGTCAAATGTTATTATAGGTTTGCTTGTGAGATTAGAGGTTTTCAATTTCCTTAGAAAAACTGTGTATCAACAGCATGGAAATACAAAAATTGGTTCTCAAAGGTAAGGTGGCCAAGCTCTCATAGGTATATTATTCTAATGTATTTTGAGTACAGTAAATATATCAAATTATCATGTTTTTGATTCGACAAAATACTTTTCTAACCACTTATTTCCTTCCTCCAGAATCCGTGTATTTTAGGTTTGGGTTTATCTTGCTTACATCTTGAGTTCCAGGCTCCCTCCCCTTGGGAAGGTACACCCTGCTTCCCAGAAGCTAAGTATTTTACAAGGAGCCCTTTTATATTTGAAAGAGAAAACTGTTTTGTCAAGTGATGATGAGAAATGCCAAAAAAACTCTAACCCAGACAGGATTCTAACTTGGGGGAAATCTGTGGCACCCTTTCAACTTGGAGTGCTGGTCACAAAGATTCCTCGAGTTATTTTACACCACTTGCAGAGAACTGATATTTGCTGTGGTTGTTTTTAATTCCTTGCATCAACACAAACAAATGTTAGTTTCGTGTCTTTAAAGTGCTGGCGATTTTATAGTCCACAGAGTTCAAATTAGCCCTGTAGCAGTTACTAAAGGCGGAACTTTTGGAGAAAAGCGTTTTGCAAAAATAAAATATTTTGTTAGCAGTTTTAATTTGTTCTCAAAGCAAAGGGAACCTCGGAGCCTCTAAGGGTGTGAGGATTACCGTGAAAGTCTTGGACTTCTTTTTTTCAAAACCTTGGCATGTGTTTGTCTGAAAAGGACCGAAGTGTTGAGCTGCTAAACACCAGAGACTCCTTCGATTCCCCTTCCACTTTCTGAGTTTAGAGGGAAAAACGGGAATATTAAATGGGAATTTTCTAAATTCTTGAGGCAAGTAACAATAGCAATGTCAAAAGTTTGGCCGCAGGGGAGGGAAGGGTGCGGAATTCTGCAAGCAGACTGAAATCTTTGAATAAGAAAACGCCAAATACAGGAAGGGTGGGGCTGTAGATTAAGACTGTGAGAGAAAGACAGCCCTCTCCCTATCGGTTTTTGGTGATTAAAATATCCAGCTTTGTGCGTGAGTGGCACAGCTGTCGTGTTAAGGACACGAAGGTTTCTCCCTCTTCACTGTCGGCCCGACTTTGCAGTTCTGGGGCGCTCACTACTGATCTCTCTTCCAGTGCAAAGGGCATCCCATCCGCAAGAAAGGAAGACTTTCTTGCATATCTGAAAAAAGAAACTTAGTCCTTTGAAAATAAAGTTTGTCCTCGGAGTTTCCCCAGATCTGCAAAGCGCCCGGAAAGTCTCGGAGTACTTAGTAGACGCTCATTAACGAAAAAATCACTTTTCGCCCTAAGTCCCCCGCCCCGGCCAGTCCTGCCCAGCTCTGGGCTGGTACAGGCTGCACAAGGCCAGAAGTCTGAACGGGATGCGAGGCAGCGCAGCAAGGGGGTCCGGAGCTGGCGCGCTGCAGCCGAGACAGGCAAAGGCGCGCAGCCGGCCCCGCCCGGGCCGCCAAGTCTGGGCTCCTGCAGCCGCGAGGTGCTGGCTGCTTTGTGGGTTTTCCTCCCCACAAAGTCCGGCGAGCAGAGATTTTTTTTTTTTTTTTTAGAGGTGACGCAATGTCGTCAAACACCCCACCCCCCAAATTAAAAAAAAAAAAAAAAAGTACAGAGAGGGAGGTTTGCAGTCCTCCACGTCTGGCAACTCCAGCCGCTCCCAGTCCTCGCCGGCTGCCCGTCCAGCCGCTTTCCCATCCCTGCCCCCAACCGCTAAGAAAGTTCGACGACCGCAAAGGAAACCAAAAAAAAGTTCCCTGCCCCGGGCCTGGCGGGCCATCAGCATCTCTTTTGTTCGGGGCGAACCCGCGGCGGCCCGTGACGTCACGGCGGCCCGGCCAATCGGCTCGCGGGCGTCCCGGCCGGCGGCGGCGGCGGCGGGAAGGGGGCGCCCCTCCTCCTGCGCCCCTGCTCGCGGGGGGCGGGCGGCTCCGGCGCATAAAAGCCAGGCTCCCCGGGCCCGGCCGCCCGCGCCCTCCGTGCTGCCCCGGGAGGAGAGGGAGCTAGGCGCCGGCGGGGAAGGAGGGACCGCGCCACAACTTCTCCGCCCTCTCCATCCTGTCCCCCTACCTGTGTCCGTCCCAGACACCCGGGAGGGATTTTCCCCGCAGGCTGCAGAGCGAGCCGATTTGGTGGCTGCTGGCCTCCGGTGCGCGCGGCTCTCCCGCCACCGACTCAAGATGCTCAGGGGTCCGAGGCCCGGGCTGCTGCTGCTGCTGGCCGCGCTGTGCCTGGGGACCGCGGTGCCGCCCGTCGGGTCCTCGAAGAGCAAGAGGCAGACTCAGCAGATCGTGCAGCCCCAGTCCCCGGTGGCTGTCAGTCAGAGCAAGCGTGAGTACCGGCCGCGGGCTGCGCTGGGATGGGACGGACCTGCAGAGCTCGCTCAAGTTGTGGCTGAAGTTTTGCGCGCGTGCGCGGGTGTGTGCGTGTAAGAGTGTGAGCGCGCTTTAAAAAATGAGGAGAGATCAGCTGTGGACACAAAAAGACCTCGGTTTGAGTTTGCAGGTCCTGAGGGCCGAGGAGAAGATCATGCATTGGGAAACGGGTCTGAGTGTCCTACAGTGGCCTCCCCAGTTCTGTTCATTCAAACTGACCCATAGGTGACTCAGAACTCGCCTTTAAAGGGAAAAATGTTTGTAAATTATCCGTCTGGGATTAGAGGGTTCCTTCACTGCTCCTTTTTTTCTTTGTTACTAGTTGGTTAAATATTTTCAAAGTGAGGGTGGGAGAAAGTTGACTGATTACTATGTTGAAAAAAATGTAATCGGTCCAGATTGTTTTAGGCGCCCTCGGGATGCTTCACCAAAAACCCAGGTTGAAATTCCTCTTTTGTTTTTTTGATACACACCCCACCCCTTTTTCTGTGGCTAGAGGAAACTTTAAAATTGTCCTGGACTTATTTTTCCAAAACAGCATTAAAGTCCCTTGAGTGTTTTAAAATGTAATTTCAATTATCTCCTTTTCAAAAATGCTCCCACTTTGATGAAGACCACTGGCCAGATGGAAATAACATCGTCGTACACCAATCAGCTGAACAGAAAGAGAGAAAGAAGGATGGACAGAGGGGAAAGAGTGAGATAGGGAGGGAGAAAGAGGAAAAAACCCTAAATATCCACCTACATAAATGATGTTTAATGCTTTAGAAAACTCATTTCCATATCTGTATCTTAATAGAATATTGATTTTAATCTCATGCTATGTGGGTGATTATTTTTCTGTTTGATATTCAGACTCATCGGTTCAGTTGTGCAAGAAAATTCCATAAAGATAGAAATGTAATAACTTTTTCCTTTCACTATTTACAGCTGGTTGCTATGACAACGGGAAACACTATCAGATAAACCAGCAGTGGGAGCGCACCTACCTAGGCAATGCTTTGGTCTGTACCTGTTATGGAGGCAGCCGAGGCTTTAACTGTGAAAGTAAACCTGAACGTGAGTGGCTGGGAGCCTGGTCATTAATAGACAGATGTGTGCTTGTTAATTAATCTTAGTATTAAGCAAAGCTCCATGCACCATTGTTAGTCTGCTTATATTTGCTTTTCACATACTACTTTTACTTTGAGGATAACACAAATGTATTGCAAACTAGCTTACAGAATGCCTTTTTATTTGTTTACTTGTTTGTTTAGTTTCCTAAAGTTTTTGGTGAGAAAATGAAAGATTTTTGTGTGTGGTGCAAGGAAATTGATTATAAAGGTCAGATTTATAAGAAAGTAATCTCAGGTCTTTTTCTTTGTTATAAGACAGTAGGATGATTTGCCAACTGCTGTTTAGTGGCAAACTATTGAGTACTTCAAAGTTCTCATAGCTTAGGACCACTCCCAAGCTTCTCACAAACTATAGAAATTCCTTTAGAGAAGAACCAGTGTGCCTAACATGGAGATAGTTGGTAGGTTCACAAGGGTCAGGGCCAGGTGAGAGGAGGCAATCTGCAAAGTGTTTGCTTTTTCTGTGGACCTTGGCTTGACTTCCTGAGTCAAAGATTGAAGTCTAAAACAATCTAGCAGGTCATGAGGTGGTACTTTTCCTAAGAATTCTTTACAATATAAATTAATGTATAGAAAATTTGAGAACTTGTCAAAGGGCAGAAACTATGGCCTTATTGAAAGCCAAAGGTAAAATCTATAACTCTTAACTGTTTTTGACCTTGAGTTGGGTCATACTACTTACTTAGAGAAGAGAAATGTCAGTTTTCCTTTGCATGGATTAGTGGACTAGAAAAGCTTTTGCATATGTGAGGGTCACATGGGTTTTTTTCTCCCCTCAGGTGAAGAGACTTGCTTTGACAAGTATACTGGGAACACTTACCGAGTGGGTGACACCTACGAGCGCCCTAAAGATTCCATGATCTGGGACTGTACCTGCATTGGGGCTGGGCGCGGGAGAATAAGCTGTACCATCGCAAGTAAGAAGACGTTCTGTAAACTGATGATGAAATATCATACATAGGAATTTAAAACATAACTGGATATTCCTCACTTTGGGACACCCCTGGTGATTAGTTACTGTTACATAATCATTCAGCCAGTTCTTGTGGTTCTGGAAGATGGATTTGTTATTACTGTGTGTGGGTCTCTGGGCCTTGCGCACAAGAATTTGTGTCCATAGTATAACCAGAGCAACCTATTGGGCTCCCTTTCAGTAAGATACCCTTAGAAGAGTTACCTGTTGTAAATTACGTGGGCATCTTCAGACCAGACTGACCCTGTGTGATTTTTAAAAGATATCCATGAGCAGTGAATCAGATGTGTGCTGTTTGCTCTTGTCTGCAGCTAGACACTTCTTGCATCTCAGCAAGAGTCCCATTTCTTTGTGACCAACAATTATACCCAGGAAACAAATCTCTTTTTTTCAATTTTTTTTTAAACTTTGTTTTTTGTTTGTTTGTTTTGTCTTTTTCATTTTTATCGGTACCGGGGATCGAACTCACAACCGCCTGCTTGCAAGGCAGGTGCTTATGCTGCTGAGCTAAATCCCCAGCCCCCAAATCTCTTTCTCTGAGAGACAATATTCCCAGATTTTGTCCAAGGAACTGTGGGAACTGGGCTGAATCTCATGAACCGTAGTGCAGTGAAGGCAATCTTTCCAGTATGATTCACTGGGTTACCAGTATTTTCTATTAATATAGCCTTTTTTATTTCTTTCCAAAAGAACTAGTCAGTCCCTTGTGAGGAGCCCTAATCAGCTTTCCCCACACTTAATGTTAGGATTTTTCCAAAGTTATAAGCAAAGCTCAAGAGTCAGTGGTGCATAGTGTTCATAATGTAGTGGACGATTCTGCTTTGGATGCACCACCGGGTTTCATAGCCCAGAAAAGCATCAGGATTTCCATGTTCAGTATGTGTATGCGCTTGCTTTTCACCAAAATGACCTTTCTACTGTAGGATAAAGTATGAGACCCAGTGATCTCTAAGAGGTCTAAGGGAATGACCCCTTCTTTGTCATTCACATTTCTCTGCGGGTTCCTGTTGTGGTTTTTTTGTTGTTTTGTTGGTGCCAGGAATCAAACTCATGGACCTTGCACATACCAGGCAGATGCTATGCCTCTGAGCTATATCCCCAGTCCCTCTCCCATTATATTTTAAGTAAGACATTTAATTGAATTGGCTCTAAGTGATCAGCTCTGCATTAACTTTTCCTCTCTTTGGTAGAAGAGCTATTCTCTGTTTCACTTTCTCCAATACAAGTCTTTTTCATTGGTGGAACATGTTTCTTTTTTCCCCCTTAAGTTGTCTCTTTCTGTCTTTCTGTCTCTCTCTCTCTCTCTGTCCTAACATTTGCTCTTTTAAACAGACCGATGCCATGAAGGGGATCAGTCCTACAAGATCGGAGACACCTGGCGGAGACCACATGAGTCTGGTGGCTACATGCTAGAGTGTGTGTGTCTTGGCAATGGGAAAGGCGAATGGACCTGCAAGCCAATAGGTGTGTGGCTGAGGAAAGAGACGGGGGATGGGACGCATAACTGCAGTGCTGGGCTAACCCTCAAGTCACAGCTACATGGGAGAGAGGTCTGAGTTCCAATTTAAACAAAAAATAGTGAAACGGCAATTTTATTTCAAATAATGAAATGTTCTATGATCTAAAGTCTTCTTTAAAAAATCAGATCACAGAGTGCTCACTGCAGATCCAAATTTTAATTTGTTCCAAAACCACAAGCCAGAGTTGACAGATTTAGGAAGAAGTCTGTTATTTAAGGCAAAAATGAAGCTTTTGACTCATTTCTTTGTGGAAATGACACCAGACTGAAACCCCAAATGACAATTCCTTTGTCACACCTTGATAATTTCTTTATAAAATAGAAATTCTGGAGCTTCTTGGAGTCTCAGTCCTCAGTTGCGCACCATAAAAGTACAAGTCTAAAAGTTTTTCGTTCTCTTTAGTTATTCTGTAATTCAGAGGTTTTTATTTTATTTTGAGTTTATTTTTATAGAAATCCAAATTTTACATAGCTTTCTTAGCACTTATGGTCTATACTTGGTTGCTCATAATTAAGATTGGAATTTTGGGGGTGTCGTCTGTCACAGACTAGCTACATACATAGATTTTTTTTTTTCCTGCTCAGAACACTGGTGGGAAGCTTGGAATTGGCTGAACATGCGCAGCCTGTGCGCTCGTTAGAAAGACAGAATCTGCCTGCCAGCTCAGCCTGGGCTTTTGCTTTTGCTTTGGCTACTTAGTTTGTGCTTAGTTGCAGGGTGTGCCTTTCTTTCTGAACAGAGTGCCACTTAAAAAATGTGGCTGGATTTTTGCTTACATGCTATGCTTTAAATTACAAGGGAGACCACACAATTCAAAATAACTTTTTTTTTTTCTGTTTTTTTTCCCAAATCTTTGTACAGCTGAGA